GAACCCTCTCGACATGTAATTAGAGGGAATATACCCCAGGTAAGCCTCCTGTTCTTACTCACAGGTGTTTTCCCCATCCTGTCTGGCAGAGATGGCTTCCACTCTGCAGCCCAGAGAGTGCACAGTGAGCAAGCAGCCCCAGCAGAAGTTCGGGTTCTTCCTGCGGGTTGAGCAGGACACGGCCGGACACCTCATCCGCAACGTGGAGCGCGGCAGCCCGGCCGACAGGGCTGGCCTGCGGGATGGAGACAGGGTGCTCAGGGTGAACGGCGCCTTCGTGGACAAGGAGGAGCATGCACAGGTACAAACCTGCCCACTCTGGGATCCACAGCGTGCCCCAGGCCCACAGCTGCTGTGGGAAGCTGCTTCTCCAGGTTGTTATCCCCCTGCATCATTCATTACCCACCACAGGCATAGGATGGCTTTGGGATGCCTCCCTGTGGTGTTTGTGAGGGTCCCCAGGATGAGGAGAGAGGTGAGAATCTGACTCCAAGTTCTCAGAAGGGTGATATATTAAATTATCATATCATATTATAGAATGCTATACTGAAACTATACTAAAGAGAGAGAAAGGATACATCAGCAGGCTTAACAAGATAATAATGCAAGTTCCTGCCTAACTCCTCAGAGTACCACACAGCTAGCTGTGATTGGCCATGAAGAAAAAACAATTCACATGGAACCAATCAAACGTTCACCTGTTGGTCAACAATGTCTAAGCCACATTCTAAAGGTGCAAACACAGGGGCAGCAATCAGATAATTATGGTTTTCATTGCTCTCTGAAGCTTCTCCGCTTCCCAGGAGAAAATCCTGGGCAAAGAGGGTTTTTCAGAAAATATAATGGTGACATCTCCTCAGTGCATGAGCAGGGGGTGAGACAACAAAGGCAGTGACAGTGCAGCTTTTCCTGGGGAAAGCTTTTATCTCCATAACTCCAGTGCCTGCTTCCATTTTTCCCCTTGTCCATCACAGGTGGCGGAGATGGTCAGGAACAGCGGGAATTCTGTGGTGCTCCTCGTTCTGGATGATGCATCCTATGAAAAGGCACAAAAGGAGGGAGTGAACTTGGAAGGGCTGGGTCAAAAGGCATCCACAGGCCAACAGCAGGAGCAGCAGTGCCCACCATCCATGGCCACTGCAGCTCCACAGCCCCGGCTCTGCTACCTGGTGAAGGAGGAGACAGGCTACGGCTTCTCCCTGAAAAGCACAGAAGGTGAGAGCCTGCAGAGAACAAACTAGAGATCCATACAAACATAAATATTATAAATATAAATATAGTTTATATCTATAAATATAAATATAGTTTATATCTATAAATATAACTTATATCTATAACTATAAATATGTGTATATTTGGCTGCAGGGACAGAGGCAGCCACAGTTAACACGTGGGAGTTAGTGGGGACACACAAACTGCTCTTGCTAACAGAAAGGAAGTGAGAAGTAGTAGCAGGATGAGTTCAGATCCATCTCCAGAACATTTCTGTACAGCATAGACAGTGCAAGGTTTTCTGAGGACCATGCTTCTCGTGGAGTGGAAAACAGATGGAAAAAAAAAAAAAAGATAGAAAAATAATAAGCTATTTTCTGCTTGTTACTTAAGCCCACTTAACAAAACCAAATTTACAGTCCCTGCTCCAACACTAGATATACACTCAATGTGCTATGTTAAGTCCTGTTCCATTCCTAAAATCACCTCAGGAATTAGCACATGAGGTTCTAGACAGCTGTAATAAACACTTTCCCTGATTTCTGAGTTAATGCATTTAGAAAGAAAAGGATTTTGAACCGTTTCCATATATGCCTTTTTTCCAAGGCCAGTCAACGGAAGAGGGAGGTCCTCTGGAAAGCACCACCTCCAAAGAGCCCTCTAAAGGGTATTTTGGAACACAATATAATTGAAGGACCAAACATAGAAGGCTTCCAAACACAGGAAATTATTAAATGTATAAAATAACATAAAAGCAGCTTCTCTCTTCAAAATGATGGGGGGAGAGGAGGGTGGGGGGGAATAGGAATCAAATCCCTTTCAGCTATGTTAATCAGCCACTTTGCAATCCTGGTAGAGAAATTAACACCATTTTGAGCTGCAGATAGTGAACAAATATCTCCCTCCACCGCCAAAGGGATTTTCCAGGCCAGAGTAAGAGACAGAGGAGAGTCTGTGTGGAAGGTTTGTGGTGCTCCCTGTGGTGCAAGCAGGGGCCAAGAATCTCTGAGGACATCAGTGCTCAGTTTCCTTAACTGCTACATTCAGGCCTGTTGCAGTGACTTACCCTGTGTAATGAGTTTTCATTTATTTTAGGACAGAAGGGGCTGTTCATAGTAGAGCTTTCATCACAAGGAGCAGCTGCAAAGGCTGGTGTCCAAAATAACGATCGCCTGATTGAAATCAATGGGAAAAATGTGGAAAATGACACCCACGAGGAAGTGGTGGAAAAGGTATTGATTTATCCTCTGTTCTGGCCTACTTTCACAGCAACCTATGAGGGTTACTGAGGAGGCCAGGCTGGCTGATTTAAGCACTTGACAGTAAATCTTGGGAGCTGCTGTTCATGCAGCACCAGCACGTCAGTGCAGCCCTCTGTGCTGGCTCTGGTATCCAGCAGCCTCTTGAGCTGCCTCTCAATGAGCACTGCCATCAAGACAGGCCAAAGGATTCTCAATAGCACAAGTACACTGCTGCCAGGAACCCTATTCAATAAATCCATTCCCTAGAAGTCCTGGAAATGCTGCTAATGGCAGAAGAGCAAGTCACCAAATGTGGTTTCCAGGGCAGGAAGAAGGAAGCCTCTGATGATACAGGGAAGATCCCATGATTTTAGACAGTAGTCCCTTTTCTCCTGTGAAGAAGTCCAAAACTCATGAAATTTACTGTGTAAGTAATTTCACTAATTGGCTGCAAAGAACAATGCTAATGAGGCTTCCAGCTTTCCGCTGCTGGCACTGCTAAAACGCAGCTGGGGCTGAAGAGATTTCAGAGAGCCATGAGACTCCAGCATTCCAGCAGCATTCAGGGCACAGGGCTAACTATGGAATCGTGCAACACCTGGGTTTCTTTGAGCTAAAGAACCAGCAGCACAGTGACACTGGTTAGGAGGAGTAAAAAGAGCACCCATTAGAGTAAAAAAGGACTAAGAGAAAAGACAGGCTTGGAGAGGTTGGACAGGAAAAAAACTCACCTCAGAATCAGTAATATCAGTAATACAGGGAGACGGGAGAGGATTAAGAGTGACAGAAACTTGACTTGTGGCACTGTAATCTAAAATAGTGGTATAGATGGCACAGTAAGTCGATATTAGAGAGTTCCATACCTAGAATAGCTAAACAATATCTACTCAGGCTCCCTGGATTCTACAGCACTGTATGCCACCCCCATGGCCCTCCACAGGTAATTCCCTACAGGTCAGGAACACAGTATGAAATATGGAAAATTTCCCCATTCATTACATGCCCTTGATATTGTCATGGTCCAGATTTCTGACTGTAAGGGGGGAAAAGAAAAATCAGTGTATAGCCTGGACTAACAGCACCCAGACTCTGCTGTGTACCAGTGCACCAGTCACCAAATATCCCCAATTCCCACGTGCTGTTGAAGGGGTGACATCTGAGACTGTACATGTGCTGTCACAGGTAAAGAAGTCTGAAAATCATGTTATGTTTCTACTTTCAAATGAAGAAACAGACCGCTATTTCACAAGCCAGAGGATGGCACTGAGCAAAGAGAGCGCCAGCCTAAGGTTGCTTCCCCTCAAACCACGACTTATTGAGATCCAGAAAGGAAAAAGTGGTTATGGATTCTATCTACGGCTGGAACAAAATACTGGTGGTAAGATCCAAATTAACACACAGGCCATGGCATTTGCTGTACCATTTCTTCCTATATGATGTTCACAGCCCTCATTCTCTTTGGCTTTTGCTGGCCATCTAAGAGAAATCCTCAGGAAAAACATCCTCAACCCAAAGTGCAATTAATTTACATTTGCTATGCTTTTCTATGCCTTTAAAACTCATCCAGCTCTGCCTTCACAGCAATCTTTCTCCCCTTCTTTCTTATCTCAGACCACGTAATTAAAGATGTAAGTTCTGGAAGCCCAGCAGCCATGGCAGGTCTGAAGGACAATGACATCCTAGTGGCTGTCAATG